ATACACAGTGCCATATCCTCCTTTAGCGATATATTTGACATCTTGAAATTGTGTATACGGTATCCATTCTAATACATCAGCATTATACTCAGCTTGAAGCTGAAACTTTTGTATAAATTCGTCAATTTTATTATTTCCACTTGTCCATTTATCAAAATCTTGTTTAAAGTGAATCCCATTACATGACATGCACCATTCGGTTCCTGAAAATTTCCGATTACATTCAGGACAATATTCAGAATACGATTGCATGTTTGATCTCTTCAAACTTGAACTTTCCTACTACTATAAATACTTTATGCATTTCAAACCGTTACACAGACACAAAATATGATCGTGTGGATCATTTTCTTTACAGACATTAATTTATCTAAATTATTTGTTCAAGGATACTTTAATGAAAAATTTTATTTACTATTAAGCAAAATTTATTTTGTAAAATTGAAATATTAAATAAAACTTATTACCCGAAGCAAAGCGTAGGATTTAAGGAAGATAACGAGCAGAATAGTGGTCATTTCTGCACTTTTTAACGTCCGATGATTTTTGTATAAAAATAAAAAATTTTAAATTATTTAAATAGATTTATAAAAATAATAAATGAATAATATTATATATCTTTAAATTTTAATATTTTTAATCGTCTGGTTAATTTGAAATTACTGTATGTGTATTGATTATGCATATTAATTAATAAAAAAATTTTATAAAAAAATGTTTTATTCCAAAAATAAGTTTAAAAATTTTAATTAAAACAATATATAGTATATAAATTTATTTAATAAATTAAATTAAATTTTAGTTTAACATAATGCTTCGGACCCCAATGGTTTCCGTTTCTAGTTTATTTGGTTTTATGACAAACGTTTTTAAAAATATAAAAAAATAAAAATTTTTTTAAAAAAACACTTTATTATTTATAAATTCATATCAAATTTAATATGTTTTATAATAATTTTATTTTTACTTAAATCTTTATTTATTAATTAATTTAATAATAAACATTTAACAAAAAAAATATTTTTTTACTGTTTTTTTTCTTTACACACTGTAATTTATTATCATATTATACAGTCTAATGTACAGTATATATGTACAGTATATTTGTTCAATATACAGTATCTCCGAACCAGTATTGTCTATAAATTAATAAGTGCTTATTAACCAGAAAAAATGCCGTTCTTGATGCTAAAATCATTGCATAACCTTGTGAACTCTGTATAATAACATTTTTGAAAATTTTTGTTGTACAACAAATGCATACCACAAACATTTGCGCATTTTGAAAATTGCGAAACAAAAAAATGCACTTTGTAACTTTGTGAACCCAGAAAATTCGAAATCGAAAAATGATTGGGTTAAAGGACTCGAAGATTCTATAAACGAGCTGACATTAAGGAAGTTCAAATATTTTGGAAAAGTATACAAAGCTTTTTTAAAGAGTATTGAGAAAATAGTGGCGATTAAAAAAATTTTTTGATGAAATTACAGCAAATATATTTCTTAACGAGGTATTTATTTTAATTAGATACAATATATTTATTATATATGGTATTACGTGAAAACAATTGAATAACGTAAAATATATCTTATTCGAATAGCTCAAGTTACATCAAGACATTGACTTTGACAATAACATTTTATGACTTTATGGAATTTCTAAGAACGGTGTGTGCATAACGATTTTATGTGTGTACGTTTCTAAAAGAAACAGTGACTAATGTATAGATAATTATGCAGACTCGCAAAAAACCGATTTTCTTATAGTTATTGAATGTGCAGATGAAACTTTGCGACAATACCCAGGGCATAAATTCTACTGTAAAACGGATGTGAAAATCAATTAGTTTGGATAATTTTAGAATTACGCCTATAAAATCGCGGCAATTGGGTACCAATAGTGATATTGATGTATATACAGTATATTCAATCAGCATTTAGTTTAAATTTATATGTAATTTTATAACATTTTATTAATAAATATATTGGCATTAGAGGATTATATTTTACTTTGTTTTTATAAATAACAATAATTTTATTAAAATTATATGTTCAATAAAAAAACTTCGAGAACACTAATATTTATTGCGTTCGATACTTACAGTATTTCCATGATTAAAGTCACGAAACTTTATAATTCGGAACTCGGGATCGTCATCACGTGTAACATCTATTCATAATATGGATTCTAAAATTATCCTAATAAACTAACCAAATTTAATCGATTTTCACATCCGTTTTTTTATGCCTCAGAGAATTTTAAATCGGTTAAACTGAAATAATAAATTACGCATGGCTAAACAGAAATTAGTCTTTATTTATTTTATTTTTAGCATCCTGGAAATATTCTTATCCGAGATGGAAACTCCGATTTGGGGTTATCAGAGAAATTAAAAGAGATGCATCAAATACTCAAACTGCCAATACACCACTTGGCGTGATACCTTATATTGATCCATGATGTTTTAAAATGTCAAAAAAAAGGTTCTTATCACAAGAAAACGAAGAAATCTGATATTTATAGTTTAGGCGGTTTACTCTGGGAGATCACAAGCGGATGTCCTCCTTTTGATTCGAACGGATACGACTTATTAAGATAGAAGGGACGCCTCAAGAATATATCAATCTTTACGAAGGTTAGCTTGCAATAAATAATCGATCTACATGTATTTCGCTAATAATTACAATCTTATCTAAATAGTTAATTTTTATTAGCCTAAAATCCAGACAAGAGGTCTGACGTTATTCAAGTTAACGAATTGCTTAACTCGTTGGATACGAAAGTTAGAATATCGAAGACCCCAGATGAATTTGAATTTTATGAAAGTGAAAATATTAGTAGTACTAACAATCTTATAATATCGAGTGATATTATTAAGGAATTTGAACTTAACACATTAAATGAATTATATCAACTTATTGTCGATCAAGAAAGTAAAGGATTTTTACTTCGAAATTAATCATTAGTATTAACACGTTCATTGAGAATAATCGGACGACTTCGAAACAGATTCTTAATTTATTAATTAACAGCCACGAAACCCCTCAAATGCAGTGACTCTCGGAGTTTTTTATCAAAAAGGAATTGAAATCACTTGAGATGACGAGAAAGCCTTTCGATGTTACCTGAAATCTGCTGAAAGTGGAAGTCATGAAGGACAATATTTTCTTGGATATTGTTATGATGTGGGAATCGGAATTACTCGAGATGACAGGAAGTTCCTTAAATCTGCTAAAGGAGGAAATGCCGGTGGTCAATATAGTCTCGGATGTTGTTATCACGATGGAATTGGAACCATGAAAAATGAAGAGAAAGCAAGATATTAGTTTAATGAATCCAAAATGTAGGTGATTCTAAAGTACACGCATAATATAGCGAAAAGACACTTCTATAAGTAATAAACAATAACTTAAGAACAATAAATAAAATTTTTTTAAAAAAAAAAGCAATATACAGTATAATAAAGAACTCTTGATAGAAATAAATATATCTTTTTAAAAAAAATCTTGTAATCTGGATATTACAGTAAAAATCAAGGCACGCTCTTAATTTTTCCTGAGACCGGTCATTAAACCATTAAATTAGACATCTATTTTATTAAGGTTATTGATGGTAATTTTTTTGTAAAAACAAATGTGTTACCTTTTGAATTTATAAATTACTGTATATGCTGTTCAAAGCCTTTATTATTTATGTTTCTACAAAGTCTTTTCATTAATAGCTCGAGCAATTACTGTAATGTTTCGTTTCTAGAATGATTCTAAAGATTGTATAAAAAAATAAGAAAATAAACTTCTAAAATTTCTTGCTATATTACATTTGATAGATGCGTAGGCTATCATTACTATACGTATATACATATAAGTTTGATTGTGTTGTCATATGCTACCCAAATTGTATTCCCGGCCATGCTTCCTTATGGTATTACTTTGTGGCATACGTGCTATATTCAGGGACTCATCATATTTACAACAAACGTTCAGCTTTTGTATTTCATCTAACAAAGACGCTAGTTCTATTCGTAAGGTCGGATCATGTTCCCACGCTAAACATAAGCATTAATATTTGCACGTTAATATCATACACTTATCTATGCAAAACCAACAAACGTTACAAAAAAATATTTACCTTTTCGAATTATTTCCGCATACTTTTGATCATCCTCACGTGGTGATAAATTAATATTCAGTTCTTCCCTTTTACCAGAGGTCACATGATCAAACAATTCGATTGTATCTTTTCCTTTGTACGGTATCTTTTCATACTTAAGCTCCCAAAGTAACATTCCAAAGCTATTCAAAATGAAAACGTATTATTATATGTCGTATATAAATAATTATAAAAAAAACTTTACATTATTTTCACAATCTTACCTGAATATTTCGCACCCTGGAGTATATGGATATTCCATCATCTTTTCAGGGGCCATCCAATTAAGAGAACTCTGACGGTTTATCTCTTTCACTTCTTTTGCAAATGTAAAGTTTGCAATTTTTGGTTTCCATTTGGCGGTCATCTAAGGTGAAGTAATTATTTAAGTTCGTTGTAAACGTAATATCAATGATTAAAGAAAAAAAAGAAAAAGGACTTACAAGAATATTCTCACATCGAATGTCCTGATGATATACTCCAATGGCATTTAAAAAAACTAATCCTTGACAAATATCTAATGCGATGCTAACCTTTTTGCATAAAGATAACTTATGATTTTCATAGACTTCTTTTAAACTTTGCCGTTCAGCCCATTCATATACCATGTAATCATCGTTGCCTGATTTTGAAATTCCGTAAAAACGGACGATGCTTTCACATAAATGTAATTTTTCGAGGATCTTTGCCCGTGTTTTAAATCTTTTGGCTTGAGCTTCATCGTCTTTTACTATGTTCACCTTTTTACACGCTACTTCTATTCCTTTGTAACGTCTCTTTATTACACTTCCGCGGTTGACTTCAACTCCATTGGAGATTTCAAGTTCCTCAAAAGGAATTTGATTTGCTTGAAACGTTGGATTCCTTCTTCCTTTATCGATTTCGGAATTTATTAATTTAACTTGTTCTTGCACAATACTAAGGGATATCATTAATTTTTCGTTGTATTCTTGATTTTCGTTTTCGTTCATTTCGGTTCCACAAAGATTGGAATTTTCTAAAAACTAATCGGGATAGAGGTGACATATTAGCATTTTCTCGAAAACAAAAGTTCGTAGCACAATATTGTTGGCACATGCAATTCTACCTTCATTTGTTCGAGATCGTCATCGAGAACTTTCATGTCCTTTTCAGTATTAACTACAATATTTAACCGTAATTCAGACGAACGTGTGTCGAAATCTTCTAGTATCGCACGCAGCATATCCTTGACTGACTGACTACTGGTGAATCTTTTAAATTGTGAAAGTTGCGAAATATCTTCTACAAATTTTCGAATCTTTTTCATAACGTAGGTAAATTTTGCGAATGATTGGTAATAATCTTGCGAACAAAAATCCTCCACGTGATCTTCTTTATTACGAATCAATGCTTTTACTGCGCATTGTGCAAATTCGACACGAGTTAGTAGGACTCCACACGTTTTCTTGTTATACTGAGATTTCCCATAAGCCTCTAATGTGGCTTTTGAAACTTCAATTATGGTGTTAACAAATTCTAGGAATGGTTTTGCCGCTACCGTGGCATCTCCCAGACTGGTGCCTTCTGACAACACATTTTGGCTATGCATGTTTAAATTTTGATTGAGTTGATATGAGCAAGATGCGAATTAGCAGTAAAACTTTGCTTAGTGTTTAAAAACGCGAACTTCAGATGAAGAGGACTGTATTTATACAATCATGATGGAAAGATCTTATTCAGTATGGAAATAAAGACACCTGCCCATGGAAATTAAACGAAGTCGAAGAAGGAAGTATTCAATGATTTGTACGACGATGGAATATTCGATCACTATTCGATAGTTTTTCCAATAAAGTGAGAATAATAATGTGGCTAATTATTATTGGCTATTGTACCACTGAGGCGTGAAATGTCATCATATGTAGAAAAAAGAACAATAAAAGTTGGAACCAACCAGCCCTTAACAAAGCGGAGTTTGCCATTCAGGCGTAAGAATTCTTTTCGGGCCTATAAGTTATTAAAACAACCTATTGCATTTATTTTAGTTATTAATCACCCTTCTTTTTTATCCATTTCTTTACTTAATACTGCAAATCTATTT